AGTGTGCTTACTTTGCAGGCTGGTGGCCAGTTGCAAAACACCAATTCCTTCCTGGATGAGAGTCAAAGCTCTGTATCTGCACCAGGACAGGGTCTCCTAATTCCCAACTCTAGTTCTTTACTGAATCTCCCCTTCTCCTGTTGATGCTAAGCATCATCCTACCCTCCCCGGAAGGAGTGCCACACCAGCTCAGCATTGCTGTTGGGTGACCAGGAACCTCTGGGAGGCAAATCCCTAGTTAGCTGGGGGAGCAGGGCTAGAGTGCAGGGGGTCATGCTCAAGGGTTAATTCCCCAAAGCAGCGACTTTTCAACAGTTTTTACGGTAACATGTTCGTATGATGGTTGTTAAGAAGTAGCTATTAGAGGAAGTAGGGTGTGAATTCAAGTCCATGGGCCACTTACAGAAAATGCTGCATTTTTAAAGATTTATTTCCCCTGTCACCATTGTCATGGCCTGGTCGTGCTTTGGTTTGGGGTCAACAGATGCTTCTTTCTGCCCTGGTGTTCTAGAACATTCTGATCGCATTTGGTCTAAACTAGTGACACCCTGCCTGAAGGCCCACACTTCATGCATTACCCATGGACTAAATAAACACATTCTTTTTTCAGTTGCGTGAGATATTGTTGGTTAAATAAAATAATGATTCATACTAAAAAACAAACAAAAAAACCAACCCATGGCCGTTGAGTCAAATCCAATTCATAGGTACTCTCTAGGGTAGAACTGCCCCATAGGGTTTCCAAGGAGTGGCTGATGGAGTTGAACTGCCAACCTTTCGGTTAACAGTCTAACGCTTTAATCACTGTGCCACCAGGGCTCCAATGATCAATATACATGTTGTTAAATTTCTAATTGCCACTGGCCATTAAAAATGTTTGAAAAAAAAAAAACCCAGCTATTGATAATATAACTTCCTTTGTGTAGGGGTCAACAATATATTTTGACATTTAAAAATAATGACTTCCTTCTCAAAAGGGCTGTTGAGCAGTGTCCTAAAGTGTCGGGAGGAATGGTCTTCTCTGGGGCAGTTCATGGGCTTACCACGCCCCTCTCTGCTTGGTTTCCATTGTTGGTTTGACTGAGTACACTTCATGGCATAGGCACAGAATGGGAGAGTGGGAAAAGTAATGGACTGGCAGCCAGAAGGGCAAACAGTCTGCTTATCTTCTGTGACTAGTCAGCTATATGCTCTTGAGCAAGCTATTGTTCAACTTATTTTTATATCACGTTGACCCCTGACTCATGGCAACCCCATGAACAAGGGAACAAAACACTACCTGGTCCTGTGCCATCCCATGATTGGTTGCAGATCAGACCATTGTGATCCATAGTTGTCACTGGTTGATTTTCACAAGTAGAACCAGGTCTTTCTTCCTAGTCCTCTTGGTCTAGAAGCTCCACTGAAACCTGTTCAGTATCACAGCAACGCGCAAGCCTTCACTGACAGACAGGTGGTGGCTGTGCGTGAGGTGCTCTAAACCTTAGCATTACAGGGGATTAAATGCCAGCCCTCTCCTCCATATAAGATGCTTCTGAGGAGAAAATGGTGTCATGGTTGTGTTAGTGAGTAGACTAATTTAAAAAATGTGAAATAAGTCATGGAGGAGTAAGTCCAGGGGGCAAGATCTGGCTAAAGTTCTAAGACTTTTGTAGAGGTGATGAACTTAACCCAGTGTTTGAATAGGACGTGTAAAGAAACCCTCTTAAAAGGATGAGATCCTGATAGTCTGGTCACGCCATTCTTCTTACAGAAGTCAGAAATGTGTGCCTCCATTTTCCTTAAGGAATACTGTGCAGATTTCAAAATTGATGGGAAAATTGCTTGGCTGAGCTAGATGTTCGCAGAAGCATCCAGCTAGACTATTCTTAAGCACACCTGGCCCTCCTCATCTCTCTTCCCATGCTTGGGACACTAATGGTAAGGTTTTATTTTCTCCTCTCTTGGAAGTCAGTAGAAAACCCATACATGTATGTGTACATACACATTTACTTCATCAAAGACAAACTTTGTTGTTTTGAATGTTGATAGCAATATAAAGAAAACAGGAAGAAAACATTAGAATTTCCATTTCCATTTATTTTTTAAATGAATATTTTATTGTGCTTAAAGTGAAAGTTTACACAGCAAATTAGGTTCCCATTTAACAGTTTCTATACAAATTATTCAGTGATATTGGTTACATTTTTCACAATGTATCATTATTCTCATTTATTCTGTTCTGGTTGTATCATTTCCACAACTCTCTCTGCCCCCTTATCTTCTCATCTTTGCCTTACAGTAATTTTTGACCATTGTTCTCCTATAGATGATTTTTCTTAAAGAAACTCATTTCTCACGGGTGGTATTTTTTATTTGATGAGCCAGTCTGTTATTTAGCTAAAGGCTGACCTCAAGGGATAATCTTGGTTTAAGGTTTAAAGAGTATGTCAGGGTGATAGTCTTGGGGAGTCCTCTAGTCTCAGCCAGTCCAGTAAGTCTGGACTTTTTAAGAATTTGGATTCTGTTCCATGTTTCTCCCCCATTCTGTAAGGATCCATCTATTGTGACCCTCATCAGAAAGGTAGGTAGTGGTAGCCAGGCACCATCTAGTTCTTCTGGTCTCAGGGTAGATGAGGCTGTGGTTCGTGTCAACTATTAATTAGTCCTGTAAACTACTTTCTTCTCTGAGTTGTTAGTTCTTTCTTTCTCTTTTGTTCTAGATGAGTGAGGACTAATAGCTGTATCTTAGATGGCTGCTCACAAGCTTTTAAGAGCCTGGACACTACTCACCACATTGGGATGTAGAACCTACACTTTATGAACTATATTATGTCAACTACCTGAGTTGTCCCACAAGACTATGGTCCCAAGTCTAAAAAACTCAGAAAACCAATCTCGTGAGGTGTTTGGTTATGTCTAGGAAGTATACTTACCTGTGTCCCTATGTGGTTTATTACATACATAGATATACAGGCATTCACATGCATATCTGTATGTATAAATGCCTATAGATACTTCTATCTGTGTACACATATGTGTGCACATATTTATACTCATATATTTATATGCCTATATACAAACTTGTGTAACCATACACATAATTTTTGGTTGTTTTTGCAAAATTATATTTGTCATATCCTTTACTAAAGACATCCTTTTCTCTTGTGCACTTCTTAGTGACATCGTTTACCTTGGTCAAGCTCTGTGCACTTCACCCACATTCAATGCTACCTTTCCCATCACCAAAAATAACATGTGTCTACTATCTCAATATGCTTCCCCCTTTCTCCCCTCCCATCCCTTGTAACCACCAATGAGCATTGGTCTCTGTATATATATCTATTCTTGTCTTCTTATAAAAGTGCTATCATACAATATTTGTTCTTTTGTGATTGACTTATTTCACTTAGCATAATGTTCTCCAGATTCATCCATGTTATGTTTCAAGGACTCATCATTATTCTTTATGGTTGCATAGTATTCCATTGTGTCTATGTACCACATTTTGTTTATCCATTCATCCATCGAGGGACACTTGTTTCCATCTGTTTGCTATTTTGAGTAATGGTGCAATGAACATAGGTGTGCATATATCTGTGTCACTGCTGTTAGATCTCTAGGGTATATACCGAGGAGTGGGATTGCTGGATCATAAGGTATTTCTGTTTTCAGTTGAGGACATGCCATACTGTTTTCCATAGTGGTTGTAGCATTTTACGGTCCCACCAGCAGTAGATGAGGGCTCCAATCTCCCCACAACCTCACCAGCAGTTGTTGTTTTCTGTTTTTATGATCAGTGCCATTTTTGCAGGAGTGGGATGGTATCTCATTGTAGTTATGATTTGCATCTCTCTAATGGCAAATGATAGTATCTTTTCATGTGTTTGTTGGCTGCTTGAATGTTCTCTTTGATGAAGTGTCTGTTCATGTCCTTTGCCCATTTTTTAATTGGATTGTTTGTCTTTTTGTTGTCGAGCTGTTGAAGTGTTCTATAGATTTTAGAGATTAGACCCTTATCAGATCTGTTGTTCCCGAAGATTTTTTTCCCAATCTGTAAGTTCTCTTTTTACTCTTTTGATAAATTCTGTTGATGAGCATAAGTATTTAATTTTTAGGAGGTCCCAGTTATCTAGTTTGTCTTCTATTATTTGCACATTTGTAGCTGTGTTTGATCAATTTATTTGTATATCATTAAAAATTTTTTGTGTTAGTTTATAATATAAATAATATTAGCATGACAGTTTGTGCATATGATTCGTAAATAAATCAACGTGCATATATTGGGAACACGTGCTTAACAACTTTTTCTAATGGTAGGGTGCAAGATAAAAAAAAAAAAAAGGAGACCAATGTTCTGTAACACTTCCCATTTCATTCAGGTAGACAAGTTGTCTAGAAGGTACTCAGTGTTACCCAGAGAAGGTTATAGGGTTATCAAGGCTGTGTGTCTAATTCCTTGCAACATCAAGGACTTTCCAGATCTCATTATCTTTCATTATAATATAGAAGAAATGAAAACAAGCCACCTAACAGAGAAACAATTTGAAGCAAGTTTCTTCCTTGGAAAAGACTGTAAAACTCCACATGGGTTATAAAATCCTGGCCTGCAACCAGAAGGAAGCGGGTAATCTTATTCTCTTTTGGAATATCAGAAGGATAGCCACCTGGGTTCTAGATGCTTGGTGGATGCAACAGAGTGAGGTTTAATGGATAAGGTCCACCCCAGAAGGATCTTTTTATTTTATTTTGGTCCCTGGACACAGATCTCTGCTGGCTTTGGACGCCATCTTATTAACTCTCTCAGGCTGGAGAAAGACTTAAATAACATATTTCTGCAAACATCATCACCACCACCACACCACCAACAACAAAATACATTGACTTTGTACCTTTTTCTGTACTGCAGTGTACATTTGAAAAACTCTTGATGGTGCAAGAGGTAAATAGAAATTTTCCCCTGGGAAAGCCCTTTGATCTAACGGGGTAAATAAGAAAACAGTGTCATCATTTCTGAGAGAAGAAGGCACAATTTATTTAGTCAAATTATTTTACAACATAGTCTTCATTGACAGTTGTCAGCTTAACACTTAATATAGTTAAAAAAGTCAATGATTACCTGAAAAATTATATATACTTTAATGTCTAAAAAATATATTGCATATATGGAGCAGGAAGATCCCTCGTATCCACAAGGGAAAGTTTGGTTTTTTTCCAAGTTGTGATTATTGCAGTCCTGTTATTTACAAACATTTCCAAGCATTACAGATTTAAATGGATTGCTTTTACTTCCTTGTGCACTCCTGTTAAATAACCACACCAGAAGAGTGCTTTTCTTTCTACTAAGTCGGTGACTCATACGTCCTGTTTTCCACAATAGTCACATTATGCTTTTTTAAAACCAGCTATAAAAACGTACAAACAGCCCAAATGTACAGATTGACAAAAGATGTACAAATTACACTTAAAAAAATAACGACGACTGATTTGATAGTAAAATTGTATTTGTGACCGAGGTCAACTCGTTTATTTATTCTTTTTAATTTTTTATTTACTCATTTTTAATACTGTGAGATATAGCAAAATAACTCTGCATAATTTATACAGTAAGTTGCCTTCTGGTTGGTTGACCTTGGACTGATGGTCTGACAAACGCACAGCGCTTGTGAATCTGCTTGTATTTAGAAATCCCTAAGACTCTTCCAAGTTCTGGGACCCACTGTCATTATTTAAAAAAAAAAAAAAATTAGCTATATAATTCTCATTCTCTGTCTTTCAGTAATATCTGTATTTGCATTAAAATTCTGTAGTTTCTATCTTGACTATTTCTAGAGAGAATGGTCAGCCTAGTGCATATTGCCCGTTGAGAAGGAGTTTGCAACGCCCATGGCTTCTTAAACGCACACACACGTTCTTTCTTTTAAATTCCAGTTGAGTTCTCACTGGCCTTACAGCCAATGTTCCAGTTGCCATCCACTGAATCAAGTCCTCCTAAAATAAGATCATAAGCTTCCTGCGTCTGTTTTCACTAAGACTCAAACCAGAACATGACCGGATAAGCCCATGACTCTTTATCATACTGAACCCCACAGGGTCCATGATGAGACCCGTGTGTTGTGAAGAAACTGCTTTGGTCATAAAAATATAAAGAGATTTTACAGTTTCTTTCTTTCCCAGAACCATAGAAAACCATTCCAGTAATCTAAATGTTTAATTCATAAGATGATAAGAGGTTGAGAATCCAAAATGGAGTACTGGCCCACGGAATTATCCATCTCTTTGTTGAACGTAGAGGAAGCAAAAGCTACCAACATTAAAAAAAAATTGTTTTTAAAGGACAAATACAAAGGTTCTATCCAACAAGAAAGAACATCCAGTTTTGTTTTCTCTTCGAGGCCACATATATCCTTCGAGTCCAAAGTATCCTAGGAGTGGGAAGGATAGGGCTTCGGCTAGAAGACCACCGATGATTAAGCTTCTAGTAGTAGCTGCCTAAGTGTGAGGGCACGTGGGTATTAGGGTGGCGGGGGACATTGGGGTTGGGGTAGATTCCACCAGTAGGGGAGGTCCAGTATTGTGACGCCGCTCCAAAGAAGCTGGAGGAAGTGACTGGCATGGAGGAGGGGTGGGGAGGGACAAAGTTCACCTTCTGTTGGTGGGTGTGGTAGGAAGGCATGTAGGGGATATCAGAAGGGTACTTGTACATGGACGACTCAGTCGGATGTGGCTGCAGGGCCTGGGCGATGCCGTGGAAGTCAAATTTGTAGGCATACCTTTTGCCATGCACTTTGGTCATAATGTTTTTGTCATAGTAATATCGGAGGGCCCGGCTCAGCTTGTCGTAATTCATGTTGGGCTTGCTCTTCCGCTCCCCCCAGCGTCTGGCCACCTCATCGGGGTCCGTCATTTTGAACTCCCCGTTGGTGCCCTCCCAGGTGATACAGCTGGCATTGGCACTATCAGAAAGGAGCTCGAGGAGGAATTGCCACAGCTGGATCTGCCCGCTTCCTGCAGGCAGGAAGGTAGACAGGAGAAGACAGGATATCTCAGCCGCGAGAAGTCAGAACCCAGTTCCCCAAACACAGGGATCCTCACACCCCTTCTCAGAGTGTTTCCTGCTAGACTCAACTTATTTGACAACACTTTTACCATTGTTGGTTTGCTTTTCTGCTTGCTCCTGAGATTGATATAATATGGTTAGATCTTAAGATAATTTGTCCCCCCAAAACCAGTTGCTGTCAAGTTGATTCCCACTCTTTGAGACCCCATGTGTGTCAGAATAGAACTGTGCTCCATAGGGTTTTCATTGGATGATTTTTCAGAAGTAGATTTTCATGCCTTTCTTCTGAGGTGCCTGCCTCTGGGTGGACTCCAACCTCCAATTTTTCAGTTGGCATTCAAGCACCTTAACCATGTGCACCACCCAGGGATTCCCAATTTGTCCCAAGGCCTGGTAAAAGTGGAACATGGGAAGGAGGTGCTGGCTTTGCCCTGAACTAGCTGTGTGGTCTTGGGCAAGTCACCCCTTCCTTCTTTTGGCAAGTTTTTTGAATCTTTTCTTCTAGGAAGGCCTGAATCACTCTCTAATTTCTACTTGGTGGTGATGTCCCCCAAAGGTCTTCCTTGGCAGTGTTACAGAGAGCTGCTGGCCAGGTCCTGAGAAGGTTATCAGAGTTACAGGAAGAAGGTATGGGCACTGGTCTCAGGCTGACCCATACCCAGATTGTACCTCAACAGTCTTAGTGCTTGGCTCTCAGCCATAGATTCTACGGAGGAGGACTTGGGCAGAGAGGAAATTTATAGGAGAAGGAGCTGTATGGTGTCTGCCCACCTAGGGACAGACGGACTAAAGAATGGTAGGGGCTAAAGAATGAGCAGGGACTGTAAGGAATTAAAGAATGGCCTGAGAGACCCTGAAAGCACTAAGTTAACTGAGAAAGGAAGGTGTTCATTATTGCAAAGGGCCTACTAGCTCACACTCTCAATGGTCTTGTTTTAGAAGAACCTGAGAGTTATTTTTAATAACACACCCTGAAAGTACATTGTCAAATTTACATTATTGGTAACTTTTCAGGGACGCACCTCTTTCATAAGGCCAGATAACTCTGCAGCACTTTCTAAGGTCATGAACAAAATACTTTTGGAAGATGTATCCACTTGTTCCTCGCATTGGGGAGATAACTGAGAGCTCACTCGAAGTGTTTCCTTTTTCCTTCATCTTTCCCTACTGAAATGTCTACCATGGCCTTTATCACTAACCTAAAACTCAGTGGCAGATATGCAGCGCTAATGTCTGTTCTCCAGAACATCCTCAGCTAAAGGACATCGCTATCTGATAACAAGCCCTGACCTCTCATTTGTACACTACAGAAACATATGCTGAGAGCACGTTTCCAGGAAAGAAGTACATTCTACTCCTTGTCATGTGTCTGGACTTGGAATAAAGGTCTCTGTGACCTCACAAAGCAATGGAACATTCTAGAAAGAAAGTCTTGCAAACCAAGGTGAACTCACCGGGGTTGGCTAGGCGACTGCTGGTCGGGCCCAGGATCTGATATGGATCTAAGGAAACCAAAAGGGAAATTTGTTTCACTGTTTTCAAAAATATAAACACAACAGTATCAATAATAACAAAACCCTAAGGGTTTATACTTTTATTTCAATATCATAGGAAAGCCTGATTTCAGAAAACTTTACTGCTTTCACATGCACATCTCAAAGATCTTGATCACAGTTACGGTCTTCATCCCAATAATTACAGAAACGACGTGGAACAGTAATGGAGTCACTTTTTCATATCAGGTGTCTAAAATTTATAGTTAAAGTTGTCATTACCCAAAACAAACTAATGAAAACATTTGGAAAGGAGCTGGCTAATATTCAATCATACAGAGAATAAACAAAAGGATAGCTTATTCAATGGGTTTAAAGAAGGTCTAATAAAAATTGTTTCTCTGACGTAGCATAAAGAATACAGACTGGAAATAAACAGCCTGGGTTCTAGCCTCAGCTATGTCATCAACTAAATAACTTGTTGGACAATCTCTGGATATCAGTTTTCTCATCTACAAAATGAGTGGGTTGGGCTACTGGATTCCTAAGTTCCCTTCTAGTACACCACCCTGTGATTTCAAGCTTGGAAATGTTCACACTAACCAGAATTTGTATTTTAGCTATAAAATGACTATTCTTAAAATCTCAGTTCACTTAAAACTTATGTGATTATTTAGCCATGAAAAAATCTTTGTAATACTGGTTAAGGTGAGGTTTGTCTTCTTTTATCCAGTTAAGGAAATCATGATAGAGAGCTGGACCCCAACTCGGCATGTAGGCAAATACTTTGTAAAATTTTCCTATAAGAATTTTTTTTAATCAATAGAATTTTTGGTTGGAACCACAAATTAACTTGGAGAGTCCTCAAGGCCATTTAGCCCACTCTTCTTCATGCACACAGTATGATGACCAAATATTTTTGACAGGTGATGTCTAATTTTGTTGTTGTTAGAGAATTTTTAAAACTCTCTAAGTCTGACTTGTCACGTTTCACAGTCAGCAAGTTCTTCCTTAATCTCTCTGAGAATACGTAGGTCAATTTTCTCTTGCTCTGCCTTTTGGTGGAGATGGAGACAATGCTTGTCCTTCCCAAAGAAAATGGCTGGTTCAGAACTGTACCCTCAATTGTATCACATAGAGAAGATAGAGTAGAGCTGGGTCTCGGAGGTCAGCACACAGCTGTCTTCAGATATATGAAGGGTCTTCTATGGAGAGGGAGGAAGACCCCTCCAGAGGGCAAAACTACGAAGTTTGAGTGGAAGTTACAGGGAGGTGGGCTTGGGCTCAGATAGTAGAATCAAGCTTAGCTAGGTAGTGAACTCCCAGTGCTGTAAGTATTCAAGTAGAGGGGAGGAAACCATACGACTGAGATGCTATAGAGAATGTTATAGACCTCTATGTCTCAACGTTCTACCCCAGGTCCATGGCTTTAAAAATCTCTTTGCCTTTAATTGTTAGATGGATCCATCACAAGGTGAAAGGAAGGTTTGGTGATGCATAAAGGTCTTGGACAGGAACTTGGGAGTCTGAGGTTATAGCTCTAGTTCTCTCAAAAACCAGCTTTGTGGCTTTTTAGCAAATTACCTCCCTGGGCCTCAGTTTCTTTATTTTATACTGTGAGGCACTGGAATATTTAATCTCTAAGTTCCTTTCATTTCTGATATTTGGAAACCCTGGTGGCGCAGTGGTTAAGTGCTATGGCTGCTAACCAAAACGTTGGCCGTTTGAATCCACCAGGTGCTCCTTGGAAACTCTATGGGACAGTTCTACTCTGCCCTATAGGGTAGTTCGCAAGTTCTTTATTTTATACATATGGTGAGGTACTGGTATATTTAATCTCTAAGTTCCTTTCATTTCTGATATTTAACTAGTCTCTACCTGATTCCAGTACCTCTTAATTCATAGATTGACTACAGGGCATGATAATATAGAATTTAAATGAAAGGTGATGACAAGCGCAGTATATTGTTTACATCTTCCATCAGTTGATCATTGCCATCAACAGCTGCACAAGAAGCAAAGGAGAGATTGCACATCCCTGGACAGTTACCTGGTTGGGGCCGTTGCTCAGTATTCTTACTCATCGTTTGTGCTCCTCCAAGGGGAGGACCTGTAGAAAGAGGAAGAGAAATATGATGAGTAGGGCCATTTTCCATGAGAGGAGAGAAAAATCTTATCAAATGCCCTCCAGGAGGACAAACTTGCTTTCTCATTCATTCATTCATTTATTTGTTTTATTCATAAATATTTTTCTAGAATCTGCTATGTGCTGGCACTGTTCTAGATGGTGAAGATTCAGCAATGAACAAGCAGCTCCTGGTGGAACTTAATGTTTTAATGGGGAAGACAACAGTAAACAAACAAAAAAAGTAAAGCATATAGTATAGCATGTTTGATGGCACTGGGGCTATGGATTTAGTTTTTAAACAAGAAATCGAGATGTCCTCAACAAGAAGATAACATTTGTGCAAGGATCACCTGCTTCCTGTATTTCCATGTTTTGTGAGTTCCCCTTTATGGTATCTTTCACGTACATTCCTTCTATTCTTATCTCTTCTCTATTTATTTATTAATAATTTATTTTATGTTCTTGTTGCAACAAATACATTAATTCAAGTTTCTACATGTACATTTCAGTGACATTGATCATATTCTTCAAGTTGCACAACCACTCTCACCCTCTTTTTCGGAGTTGTTCTCCCCCCATTAACATAAACTCACTGTCCCCTAAGATTCCTATCTAAGCTTTTGAGTTGCTGTTGTCAGTTTGATCCCACATAGATAGATCTTAAAAAAAACATAATGCTCAAGGCAGACATTCTTTACTAGTTAAGCTACACTATTGTTTGGTTTTAAGAATACTTCAGGGGATATTTTTGGTTTAAGTTTTAAAGATAATCTTAGGGCAATAGTTTTGGGGTCATCCAGCCTCCGTGACTCCAGAAAGTCTGGATTCCATGAGAATTTGAAACTCTTTTCTACATTTTCTCCTTTTTGATCAGGATTCTTCTATAGAATCTTTGGTCAAAATATTCAGTAATGGTAACTGGGCACCATCTAGTTCTTCTGGTCTCATGGCAAAGGAGACTGTTGTTTATGGAGGCAATTACCAACACATTCTGTATCCTACTCCTATTGCTGATTCTCCTTCTTCCTCTTGCTCCAGGTGAATAGAAACCAATTATTGTGCCTTGGATGGACGCTTGAAAACTTTTAAGATCCCAGGCACTATGCAATGAACTAGGAGGTAGAAGAGAAAGCACCAAACACATTATTAGGCCAATTAACTGGGATATCCCATGAACTTAGGTTTATGGTGATAGAAAAATTGCATTGATTATGGGTAGGGTTGCCCAGCCGATTGATGTAATTGCTGTCAATAAGTTGTACATCTGTAAAAAGTTGAATTGGAACAAGTTGTGTGATAGATATATTTACAACAATGACAAAAAAAAAAAAAAGTAGGTGCTGAGGCTGCTTTTGTGTACACCTCATGAGATTTGTTTCCTTGGTTTGGAGGTTTAGGCTCTTCTCTATTTTAGATCTATATTCCTGCTTGCATGGTCTATGGCTTCATCTAACTGATATATCTTCACCACTCCTCTCTCTTCCCACCAACTTATCATATGCTATTTAGCCATTTTAATCTCCCTCAACCATTTCATTCCCTTGGTCAGAAACCTTCAGTGATTCCTCACTGACTGTATAACTCAGGTCTATTTTCACAGTGCCCTTCATGACTCCTTTTGTTCTGACCTTTCCAGACTTCTTTCCTTTCACAATCCTGATTTCTTGGAAGCTGAAGTCCCAGCTCACTTTCAGACATGAGCAAGGCTTTTAGGTCTTTTCCAGGCCCCCACCTCTGCTGGCCATGTCTCCCCTCCCCATCTCCCACAGGCCAAAATCCTGCCTCTCCCAGAGCTAACTCAGATGGTTCCAGGTCCACAAAGCCATCGTGATACCACCCAGAGGAAAACAGTTATTTGTATGAATGACTCCCCTCCCCTGCTTAAGGGACCAGTCCATGTCTGATTCCTCTTTGAACTCTATAGTAGCAAGTGTTGTGTGCAAAGTAGACAAATAATGAGTACATGTTATTGAAAGGGATCTTGGTTATTGCTTACGTAGTAATTTGTAATCTCAGCCTTTTTCTTGAAAGGATTTCCTTCATCACCAATGTATGACCCTGTTTTCCACCCCTGTCCTGAGATAAATGTTTTCCTCCCAAAGACTGGTATGACATGTACTTACTTTTGTTGAGGCCAGAATTCATGTTATTGCCCCATCCTCCTCTCCTGACTGAGTCATAAGAAGGATCTAAAGAAAACAACAAATAGAGGTACGTCAGCATCTCCTGCTGTTCAGAAATGTTGCATGAAAATTACTTCTTTGTTACCATGAGAAATTAAATTCAATTCAGTAATAATTGTTTAAGCATCACTAAATTCCAGAAGTTTACTCTTCTGCTGGGGGTGGGGGTGGAGGTAGTGGAGGGAATTAAAACTGTGAAGTTGAGACGATTTCAGTCTTACTTGGAAGCCAAAGTAATAGGAAGAACCCTGAATTTCAAATTATAGTTAGAGGATTGGTTCAAATACTGGCTGGGATGGGTAATAAAACTTTTCTGAGCCTCTGTTTTCTTTAATATGGAAAGAAAAAATCTAAGTAGTTTATCTAGTTATAGGGTTGTGGTAATGATCAAATAAGAACACGTGTGAAGCAATTTTTTATAAAACTTTCTATAAATATAAACTAATTCAAGGCTAGAGAGAACAAAAAAAAGTCTATAGCTGTGCAGAAAAGCCCTCTAAGCAGCTCTGAGGAGATTGGGAATGTCTGGACATGAGAAAAATGTCTCAAAGCCCAGAACTAAGAGAGCTTCTGGGAGGCTGCCTCCAGCCCTGCATTTCAGCACACTGATGATGGGAGACAGTATCTCGGAGGTGTGAGCACTTTCCAGCTCTCTTAGGTCTCTAATGTGTTTCTGTTGATAATGGAGAGGGTTGGGCATGATGACCACAGAGAAAGGAAAAGGGCTAGAGGCCTGGCAGGTAGAAGAGAAAGCACTAAACACATTATTAGGCCAATTAACTGGGATATCCCATGAACTTAGTTTTATGGTGATAGAAAAATCACATTGATTAAGGGTAGGGTTGCACAAATGTGGTTGAATTAAGACATGAGTGGATGGAGAACTGCTTCCCACTTGGAAGTGAGTGGAGGTGTGCCTCCAGAGTGTCTTGCGGAATTATCCATTGAACTCGAGTATTTGTGACCCCAACTCCTTTCTTGAAAGAATCCACTTGCCTACATACTGTGCTCAGAAATCACTTAACTAGCTGGCTGGAAATGTCCCTCTTTTCCTTTCTCATGGAGTGAGTCCCTCTGAGACACTGAGCAGGGATAGCAGAAGAGCTAAAGGACACAGAATTATGACTTTCAAAGTTTTTCCATGAACAACAAAGAAACCATAAAAACCATCCAAACAAATGGAGCACAAACCTCATCAAACAACAGTCTGACAGGGTGAAACACAAACCATTCCCTTCCACCCCATCCTGAGCCACTCAGACAAATTAGAATGAGAAAGAGGAAGATAGATTGGCTCATCCAACTGCCTCGTTTCTGGCTAAGAAGAACCAAGAGACAAGGACAATTTTCTTGTGGAAAAATCCACGTGTACACGCACATTCCTCATGGCTCTGGAAAAGCCAGTTCAGTTTTTAAATTACAGTCTTTAGCAATTGGCATGAAAAGCAAAACAGAAAGTGAGGGGGATGGGATGCGGAGGAAGAGCAGAGAAGGAGAAAAAGAGAGACCAAGCTCAACTCATGTAATTCCTGTTTTTATTTTTATTTGACTTCCCCACCCCCACCACAGTTCCTCCTGCAAATAGATTCCTCTTCTTACTTAAAAACAAAACAAAGCAAAACCAAACAGAAAAAACCAACTTGTTTACGAGCTTGGGATGAAGGCTTTGATTGGCATTTTCTGGGATTTCTTGCATTGGTCTGCAGAGTGTGTACAGTACTGGTATAAGCAAAAGGAAAGCTGAGACTCTTCAGCGGGTTTTCTTTCTGGGTGGGGTTGATGGTTAAGCCTCCAGTAATTCATTTGGAACTGACTTCTTCAATGTATGGTGTGCTTGGCCTTATAGTGGGTGTGAGGCAATATGAAACAAGTTCTCTGTCCTTGCATTCAAATATGAGAAAATACCTAAGACTGTGAGGAAATGTGGGTCATGTGCTAAAGGAGTGGTGGCGATACGAAGGGCTATTGGAGGTTAAGGAGGGAGAAGTGGGTGTAATTGGGGTTGAAGAGGCCCTCATGGGGCCATGTTACTTGAGTTAGACCTCTCTGGAGAAGAGACACCAAGCACAAGCGGGGTGGTGAGAATGCAGAGGTAATATCTGGGGACAAACCTGGGTGGAGCTGTGGGATGTATAGTGGTAGATGAGAGAGGGTTGGAAGAAAAGCTGGGGCCGTGTTCAGGGCTCTGGGCAGCCTTGATGTCAGCTAAGCAAGCTTTGTGATCTGAGTGCTATCAGCAGTGGGAAACCCAGGGAGGGTTTGAAGGACGCAGGAATACAATTAAAACAGGGTGTGGTGAAGAAAGAACCTCATGGTGGTGTAGGATGGACAGGAGAGCAGATGATTTTAGTAGGAATAGAATAGAAAGTGAAAGTAGAAAGTGACACATTCAAGCAAAAAAAAAAAAAAAAAATCACTAAGTTCCAGGAACTGGTGTGTGTGATCTGAAGTTCTGACTTCTGACTTACTGCCCTGATATAACCTCTGTCTCAAAATTTTCTACTCAGCTTTCTACTCAGTCATTAGTCCACTGAAGTCTTCAATCCTATCTGAAAGCTTTGTCGTGACCATTCAGAAGTACTGTTTTTTAGCTCAAATTACAGCCATGGCTGTAGTTACATTGACTTCCTATCAACTTGTCTTCCTTTTCTTTTATCCTAGCTCCTGGTTCAGAGCAGGCAGGCAAAGTTATGGAATGAATGAATTCCTTCTAGTCATAGTGGGTGACCACTGGATTTTCCTCTAATTCTACATGACCAATCAAAGTTTGAAGGTATTGCCTTGTCAGAGAAGTGGTTGGCAGCTTGATCTTTTCTGGTAGCCTGAGGAGGGATGCACAGCTTTATGAGGTAATGAGGTAAGTCTCCTACAGGCCACCTCAGGGTGAAAGTCTGCCTTAAAGAACGTTAGATGTCCTATGTAACCCTACAGCCCTCAGGCAGGTGAAAAAGGAAGTGACAGAAACAGAGGCCACCCCGCCATCACCCTCACTGTGGTCTCACTGTGAATTTAACAGAGCAACACACAGCAATGGGCAGTACTGTAAGCTAGAGTCTTCAGCGAATGGGGAACACAGCAGGGTGTGGAGCTGGCGCAACAAAGACCAGCGTCTCCCTCTCATTGTCCTTGCATTCACACTATCTGCGTAGGAAATCCTATTACTGGCAGGGAATCCACTGAGGACAGCCTGGGTCCATGTACTCTGGAGTTAAACAATGCACTCTGAGGGCTATGGGGTCTTGGGGACATCTGCCAAGTGTGAGATTTAGATCCAAACCAGTATTTCTGGAGTGATTCCTGCTCCAAAGACAAAGCATGAAGATGGTGAAGTCCAAGGCCAAGAACTAAGGTCTGGCATTCTGCCTTAGAAGAGAACCAGAGCAGCCTTACAGATGAAATGAGATATTCATGAAAATCCCCAGCAGAGTGCTCGGGACACAGCCACAGTAAATGCCAGCAATCAATACTAGTATTTGCATTACTATTATAGGTCCATCAGCTGCTACCCCAGAGGTTGGCAGTTTGAACCCGCTCAGCAGTGCTGTGGAAGAAAGGCCTGGTGAACTGCTTCCACAGACATTACAGCCAAGAAAATCCTATGGAATTGTTCTACTCTGTAACACACGTGGTTGCTATGAGTGGAAAATGGGTTTCTTTTTTTACTTTTTTTGGGTGGTGAAAACTGTTAATGTAGTCAGCTGCTAACCAAAAGGTTGGAAGTTCCTTGGAAGAAAGGCTTGGTGACCTACTTCCAAAAGATCAGCCATTGAAAACCCCACAGAACATAGTTCTACTCTGACACACCTGGGGTTGCCATGAGTTGAGGTTGACTCGATGACATGGTATCATTATTATATGCCTAAGAAATGTTCAGACCCAGAAACATGTTCACCAGCCTACCAAACACACAGTAACTTCCCTTCCCCTTTCCACTATCTCCCTTACTCTGCTCTACTCTTTCTTTTTTCACTCATCACCTAATTTACTCAATAATTAATTCATGTGTGTACCTCCTACCTGAATGTGAGGTCCACAAGGGTAGGCATCTCTGTTCTGCTCTCTGACATATTCAAGCAACTTGCACAGTACCCAGCACAGAGTAAAGCACCCAATAACTATTTGTTAAATGAATGAATGAACGAACTGGTTCAATATTTTCTCTTCTTATTGTTCACTCTATCACAGCTGAAGAGAATTCAGTACTCCTACCGCGACGTACACACTAAACTTCATCTCTAGGTGGTTTAAGTCTGAGGTGATAAGGAATGTAGACTATATACCCTACGTCCCCTCTGAGTATAAGGGACAATAAAATACCTGTTTACTGGACATAAGCTATAAACTTGTCCCCGTGGGAGGGAAAGGACTAGATGCTATGCACTGAAATTGCCTGCATTGCATTTTATATATTTTTTAAAAATATCATTGCTGAAAGGAAGGTTCAATTTTTTTCCTACTAAAAGTCATGCAAGTGAAAACGTAGCAGTATTGTCAGCTCTAGTCCCAGATAAAAACCAAAATCCACTGCTGTCCAGTTGATTCTGACTCATAGTGACCCTATAGGACAGAGCAGAACTGTCCCACAGGGTTTCCAAGGCTGTAATCTTTATGGAAGCAGAGTGCCACATCTTTCTCCCTCAGAGCAGCTGGTGGGTTCGAACCACCAACCTTTTGGTTAGCAGCCAAGCGCTTTAACCACTGCGCCACCAGGGCTCCTTCGTCCCGGATACACACACACACACACACAGAAATATGTCTAAAACAAAAGTAGACAAGCCTGGACCAGGGACTTAATCCAACAACTCACATTTCTGCACAAACAATATCAGTCCCAGAGCCCGACGCCTGGCTGCTTTGAGCTCCTTGGCACCCCAGCGGCCGGTCAGCGGATGCAGGTGCCAAGGAGCCGCCTGAGTGTGTGCAGAGCCAGCCCAGTGTGGTGCCCAGAGTCTGCTTTCTGAAAACTGACTTCTATAAAGACAAGCTTGAGGCAGAGCCAAGGGCAC